TTTGCTATCAGAAGTTCCAGGTTTTCTAGTTACCCTGCCATGCGCCCTGAGCTGGATATTGCTGAATCGGCTGATCAAGTCATCCATGAAATCTCTCTTTGCAACGACTTGGATCCAGAGATGTACCTTGACGTGTTTCACCTTGATCCTCAGGTTCTGATGAGCGATGAAGAGAGGTATAAAATGCTCAAAGCAATTGTGCTTGGAGAAGAGGACTATGAGAAGCATGCGGATGATGGAGCAGCTAAATCCAACCAAGGTATATCTGAGGAGGATTCAAGCATTGAAGACAAGACTGAGACTGATGTTGAGAACCTTAAAAAGACCATCTTTCTCACTATGATGTCAGGTATTGATTTTGAGGATGCTGGACACAAGCTCCTTGCCATTCCATTGCGCCAACATCAGGAGATGGTAATCTGCAACATGCTGCTAGACTGCTGCTCCCACCAGAAGACGTACAGCAGATACTTCACACTGTTGGCACAGCAACTTTGCCTGCTCAAAGAGGTATATCGTGAGAATTTTGAGAACTGCTTTCTCCTGCAGTACTCCATTGTTGACAGCCTTAAGACACACAAGCTGCACAATGTTGCCAAATTTTTTGCCCATCTTCTGTCCAGTGATTCCCTGACATGGCATATATTAGGCTGCATTCGCCTCACAGAGGAGAATACTGCTGCTACTACTTCATCATCAGGGATGTTCATCAAAATCTTATTCCAGGAGTTGGCAAAGGAGCTTGGTGTTCCCTTGCTCAAGAAGAGGCTGAATGATCCAACTCTACAGGGATCGCTTGATTCAATATTCCCCAAGAATAATAATACAAGAAACTTGCGTTTCTCAATCAACTTCTTCACCTCCATTGGGCTTGGAGGCCTAACAGACAACCGCAGAGAAAACTTGAGAACTATGCAAAAGCAAAATCACCAGGTCTCGTCTCATTCTGATCAGGGAACTCAGAGCTTTGGCACCGGTGGATCAAAACCATTCCAATAGACAGGGAAAACGAGGGAGGACTGGTTAAGATTAACTGAAACCTTTGTAAATAAATAGATGTGTTCAATGTTTAATCATTTCCCCAAAATTGCAAGTCACTGTGCTATTGGTAAAGGGTAATCAGCTGATATAGCGCTCAAATAATTAGGTAAATAGCAACGTGGGACTAAAGTTGTCACATCGATAATGTCTAGAATTTACTAACTTCTTTTGGACTGCTTCCAATGCCCCTATTGAGTCAATCTGCGTGGATATGAATGTTCGCTGTTTCTTTTTCTTGTTTTAGCTCCAAAGGTCTTTCCACGGAATTTGTAGCACAAGGAATTTTCAAAATTGACTTGTCTAGCGTGCTCTTAAATATGTGGTCATCCTTTGTGAAAAAGAAATTTTAGGGACTCGGTGTTCTGTGGGAGTTGAAGAGATTCATTTTGACCAATTGAGTTTTTTGAGTTAAAAATTGCCAATGACCAAGTTAAAAAATTGAGATATTCTAAATCTAGATGGTATCAATTGAGTTTTTTGAGTCGGGCTTTAGCAAGCTTAATTGATGGGATGTGAGGGGGGGGGGGGGGGGGGGGGGGGAAGGGAAGGGAGGAAAGAGGAAGGAGCGGTGGTAGTGGATGGTGAAAATTTTTCAAACATTTTAAAAGTATCCTCATATAATTTTAAATTTTAAAAACATTTCAAAATACATCTTGAAAAAATACGTAATACACTTTTAAATTTTAAATTATAAAAATATCCCAAAATACACATTTAAAAATATCCTCAAAAACACCTCCAAAAAATAGGGTTATTATCACTTTATCCCCTTAAACTATATCACTACTATCAGTTTACCCTCTAACGTTATTTTTTAGTCACTTCACCCCTATAAGTAATTCAACTCAACATGTGAAGAAATTTTGGACAAAACTACCCTTTTATTCTATAGCATTACTACATTGTTATTATTACTTTATTCCTTTGAATTATAGTGATATAATCGATTTAATTCCTAACATTATTTTCTTAAAATTTTATTTCATCGTTAAACTAACTAGTATGGTCAAATATTTTTAAATATATTTACCCTTATATAGATAATTAAAAATAAAAAATTTAGAATGATTATTCTTCTTTTTTTCACTTTAAGAGATCTAAAAATATAAAAATAAAGGGTTTTCTCAAATTTCTTTTTTCACACTTATTAATATTAGGAAAAGAAAAAGAGATAGGAAAGAAAGAGACAGAAAATTAGATTTTGCAAAGAAAAAAAATTAAAAAAAGTCTAACATTATCATATTAATTTAAAGTTGTTGGGATTAGCATTGAAATCTAGTAGTAAACAGCAAAGTGAAATAATTTTAAAATAATAAAAGTATTTAATTCTTTCTTATTTGTATTTTCTTAAAAAAGAATTGAGCTCTCTCCGTCTATCTCTCTTTTCCCCTCTCCCTCCCCCTCCCTATCTTTCTATTTTTTTAATATTAATAAGATTGCCAAAAAGAAAGAAATTAATATTTTGACTTTTTGTCTTGATACTAAAGAGGAGAAGAGCTACTCTAAATTTTTTATGATACAAAGATGATGGTACTTTCTTCTAAAGTTTTTTAACTTGTTAAGTTGGTTTAATGGTTGGATAAATTGTCTAAAAAATAACTCTATGGGATAAATTGATAATGAGACTATAGTTTATGGCGGTAAAATAATAATAACTTTAAGGGCTAAACTTGTCTTTTTACTTTATGTGGTGGTGGATGGTGAAAATTTTTCAAATTTTTTATAAGTATCTTCATATAATTTTAAATTTTAAAAACATCCCAAAATACATTTTGAAAAATACCTAATACACATTTAAATTTTAACATATAAAAATATCCCAAAACACACATTTAAAAATATCCTAAAAAACATCTCCAAAAAATATCTAATCATCTACAGTAAAAAATTTTCACATACACCGCTACATTAAATTTTTTTTTTTTAAATACCCTCTGAAACACTTAATTTATACAGAGCGATAATAAAGCTTCTTTCTTCCCATTGTATTTGTACTTTTATGGGTCAAGTAATCGAGTTTTCGAAGCTCAATCTTGTCTCACTTCTTAACTTTTTTTTTTTTTGGGGCCAAGATCATCCTAATCATCGGATGCTCTTCATGACTTTCAATGAAATCAGTTCTCCTAAAATGTCACATATTTACTATGTGTATAAAGTTTTGACGGTGAAAAAAGTTAAAAATTAGAGTTGTCCAATCAAGAGTTGTTATTCAGTTGAAGAAATAAGACTGAATTCTTATTTTTCCCTAAAATAAGGCTGAATTCTTTTCGTATAAAATCAAAATCAAACTCATGTTAGTTGATTAAAGATGCTCAAAGTAACTACAAACTTAAAAAGACCTTACACATGGGAAGAAATATATTGAACTGGTGAAACTAAATGCTAATATATGACTTCAATTTGTAACCCCAATTCATATTTCATCCTGCAAACTCCAACCCACATGGGATCTTCAGTGTCACTTTTCCTATGGCAACTCAGTGCTACTTCTATATTTTATATCAATTGTCCTGTTCATTTAATTTATCATGTATTATTTATCTAAAAAAATTTTGTTCTATTCTCATATGATAAGTGAGATTGACATTAAATTTAACACCGAATAGTAGCACAGATGATCCTGCGGCGGAGTTTAAACTCTAAAGCAATGATGAAGGGCTTAATACCATATTATGGGATCAGTCTGGTCGCTGGTTGGTGAGACCTTATCTGCGTCGGGTAAATAGTTATACATCCATTTCTGAAGCTTTACTTTGAATGAAATTTGAGTCCACAAATGTTGCATCCAAAGCCTTGAAGGACAGAGGATGGTAAGAGCTAAGAATGGTACGAGGAGACACGTAATTGGCAGCCCTTTTCCATCCTGCGATCATCACCTAACAAAGATGGCCATTGATTTCCCCCAATCCGAATTTTTGGTATCACAACCATTTAACTGTACATAATAATGGTACCCGTACCACAACTTATAGCACTTGTTGCTGTGTGGGACATGGCAACTAGCAAGGTGCAAGGATATTATGCGATGCGTCTTAAAAGTACAATTGCTACTATAACATTATTAAAATTTGGAATGTGGCAATAACACCAGCCAGCAAAAATGCACTAAGTAATAGCCACCGCCAAATTAAGCTCAGTGACCACCAGAGACTTGGGCTGTAGGCGAGGGTTCAAGCCTCACCTGCAACAAAAAAAAATCTAAAGATAGTGTTATAGCACTCTTTCGATCTAGTTGTATTTGTATATCCATTAGTTCTTAACACACAAGCCTCCTTAGGTTCCCCCTTCCCCTAGATTAGGATAGAGTAAGTTATACAATATATCGTTGCTGACAAAAAAAAAAAAAAAAAATAGCCACAGCCAAATTACATGTACATAATACACTTCTTGTTTACGGAAAAATTCTTTAATCAATTGGCTAACTCGTGCATCAGGTGGATTGTGGTGCGTGACAACTTCGAGTTAGTTGTCAATTAGATGTGCTCCTGTTGGAATACACCACCAAGAGTCACGTAATCACGAATTAAAATTTGGGGTTTGAGACAGTTACTGTTAGATTCAGGTGCAGTACGATTATTGTGCTTTTTTTTTTTATGATTTGATGTACAAGTCACGTAACTTTGCTGTATTTCTTGGCATACAGTCGCATCGATTGCATCCAAAACTATTCCCCTAAGATTGAAAGTGTGTTCATTGCCTAGCTTGACATAGCTAGGAATGATTGTAGTCATCAGTTCGTTATCCTCCGTGTAGAATGAAACCTTCCATCAGCTACACGCCTTCAAAATCAAGAAACGTCCACATTGGAGTTCGTGTATTTTCAAATGCTAACTTGTCCTAAAAAATTTTGCTTGTAATACACTCGTTTGAGATGGAGTTAAATTTAAGATTTCATGGACTATGAGAAGACGAAACTGAAAGACAATAGAAAGCTACAGCTACTGAAATGGGGAGAAACATTCGTCAAACCAGCACTATTTGGTGTCAAAGAAAAATTGGTCGCTTCTCTTCTAAGAGAGGCAGGTGACAGCAAGAGCCCACCATTGATAGCTAAATACAGAAGAAAACAGTCACAAAAGTTTTTTGAGTGTTATAGTATACATCACTACACAAACTAACATTTTCTTGTTAATGAAATATCCACCACGTTCCTTGTCATTTTCATACAACTCAAAGTAGATATTGACTTTCTATACGTAGTATCATTTTAACTTAGTGACAAAGGCTGAAGCTGTATAACACACCACCAAATTTATCTCTTCTATTTCATTTCCTCAACAACCATCCACCTTTCTCTTCCCTGCTTGGCACCCCCCCATCACTTGGCATTCTGCTTGTGCATGCATTTCTGAGTTCTCCATAGCTTGGAGATATGAGGGATCGAATAGAAAGATTTGTTCTTCTTCCCTTCTCAATGGGTTGTGTTTCTGAATCCAGCATTGCAGTTGGACCACGGTTTCCTGATAGACTAAAGAACATTAATGCATACTCAACTCCAACAAGTCTCTCTCTCCCTCTATCATAAAGCATGATGCACACACTGGAGCACCATGCCTGATGCACATAAGTTACATTTAGAAAGTGTTTTCAGCTATCACATTCGACAAAGGCTTACTCTCTTCTTTAATTTGGATTATGAAGGAACTCCAGAAGATGACAAGGAGGGAGAAGAGGAATCTGAAGATGACGAAGAGAGCTTGTCAGATGATAACTTGAAGAGCCCATCAGGCCTCCTCGCAGCTCCCAAAATCCAAAAGCTGTTCAAGAATTTTAAGAATTTGTCTCAACTATTTGGTAAGTTTTCAGCAATATCTGGATATCAATGCCAAAATCATGTCCGAATGTGATTAATGCTTAATATATATTAACAAACCAGCATTTTAAATGGCAATTATGATGTCTGAGAAAAGGAAGTTTTTTCTGATAATATTTCCATAACTCCCTATCTGGTGCTTCAGCATACAAGGATGATGAAATAGAAGAAGAAGGCACGGGCATGGAAATTGGATTACCAACAGATGTCAAACACGTCACTCACATAGGAATAGATGGTTCTGCAACTTCTATTCTGTCAAAGGGCTGGGGTAATCCAAAATCACCTGGCTTGCCTGCTCTGCCATCTGCTAATTGCCCACCATCTGCCTTTGCATTTGCCATGCCAGCACAGGCTGATAAAGCTAAAGTCAGTGGTCCATGAAAGGCAAATCAAGATGAATATGGTGCTGGCATTAGATATCAAAGGCCAACGAGGAAGCAAAAACAGGCCAAGATACATTTATGATCTACCAGACAGAACCATGAACTTGAAAAAATACCTGTTCCTTGTGTGAACTCTTCATTCTCAAAATTACTGCACTGAGATGATTTGTATGCCTAATATTGTGATTTTAGAAATCAAATGTACATTTGGCATATATGGATTGTTTGTGTATCAATAAGACTCTCTTAAATTTGGTGTAGACTCGTTACTTCAGTGAAATTATACTGCTTATTCAGTACTCAAGAAACGCGCCTCCACTGATGTTAGGATGGATGATCAGCATTCTCAGGCCGCTAGGGTCAAAATGGTTCTTCTGTTATCCCCTTTCAGATGTTATTTATCTGAAGCTTTGACTATCTATACTTCAAGTTGGTAACTAAGAAAAGAATCAAGACTGCAAAATATTGAAGATTTGGCAGCCAAAAACATAGCTTGCACAGTTATAACGTTGCCCATAGTATTGCAAGGGATTTCTGGTGTTCAATACGTCTGAATAATCCAAACAACATCAGCTATCAATCCAGTCCCAAAACAGGGAAAATGCAGTACCCAGTCCAAAAACAGGGATTTGCTTGAAACAGTACCCATATAACAATTAGCAGTGGTTTAAACGCTACGCTGGCGTCTTCTGCGTAATGCAGCTAAAAGTAGACGAAAAGCACATCCATCTATGAGAAAGCAATTTAACCTTTGAACTAGAAAACCAAAAATAAGAAGATAATTTAGATACTAGTACAAGTAGAAATGATTGGCCTTCAACAGCCCAGATGAGAAATAAATGGGACGACTTCCTTCTTTATTCTGTTCTAGTATAAGAAAGCATCAGATAAATAATAATGTCAATCAAGATGATTTTAGACTAGGCAGAAATAAATTTCCAAACATCATCAACAAAATTAGAACCCAAAGGCCTATTAGCCCTAACTACATACTTTCCCCCCATTTCCTTGCTAAACTCCCTCAACCCCTTCTCCCCATTCTTCCTCCACAACTCCTCCCCAAAACTCCGGTGACCAAAATACCCCTCCACCGCCACCACTTGTCCATCGCCAGACACTACATCCACCGGCAGCCTCTCGTAATGACCCGTTTCAATTCCTTCCAACTCATCCAGCCGGGCCAGCCCACGATCCGACACAGCATACAGTTCGCCCGGGATCCTGTAACCGGAACCCAGATGATTAATCAGAAAAGGGATCCCGTAGGGTCCAATGACGAGCGGAAAAGACTCCTTCGTCGTGCATTCCCTGATAAAAGAAGCGTCGCCCGTGGAAATCAGGCTTTCCATGAGCCTGTGGTTGTAGAATCCACGCTTTAGCGTGCCATAAGTAAAGATGAGCCAGGTCCTGCTGGTGGTGGAGGTGTTGTTGTTGTTGTGAGGGGTTAGTAAATCTTGGCTTACAGAAATGGAAGCCATTGTTGCAGCACCACAGGGAGAGTATTGATGAGGAAGAGAACGGGTGAAGGTGCGAGGGTGAGAACTGATGATGGAGTCGAAATCGGCAGGGCGTAGAAAACGGCGCATGGGAGAAGAGATTGGAGAAGGATTAAACTAAAGGGATAATTTCAGAAACCTCCCCTGAGGTTTCTGACATTTACACTAACCTCCCCTGTGGTTTGAACAATTACACTGACCTCCCCTGAGGTTACTAATCCTTTACAAATTTAGTCCAAATGATTAAAATATTGTTTTAGAGAGTGAAATTAGAATTTTGTACCTGATTTGCCATTTATGCTACATCTCCAATGAATGACAAAGTATTACAAATTAATTAATAATTAATAAACTTTAAGGAGCGTAGTTTATAGGTAAATATGTATTACTTATTTAAAGTACCAACTCTTTACGAGTATTTTACTTTCAAACATTTACTTTATTACAAATATTTATTCTCAAATACAGATTTGTATTTACTCTCAAATATTTAATTTTTGTTAAATACAAAACCTACCAGTTTTTCTTCCATAGAAATATTAATATAACACTTTTTCAATTTTAATTATAAATATTTATGTATTTAACATAAATTAAATGATTCAGGATAAAATACTCATAAAGAGTTAATACTTTACTCATGTAATGGATGAAAATCATAAAAAATTAATACTTTATCGGCCATTTCTTTTTTAAAAAAATATTTAATTTATATTAAATAGATAACCTACTGATTTTCTTTTTGCGAGAATATTACTGTAACACTTTTTAATTTTTAATTACAAATGTTAATATATTTATCATAAATTAAATATTTGAAAATAAAATATCTGTAAAGAGTCGGTACTTTAAATAGGTTATGTGTATTTGCCTATAAACTATACTCTTTAAAGGAAGGAGTGTAGTTTATTGATTTAAGTAAGGAGTGTAGTTTATAGGCAAATACACATAACCTATTTAAAGTACCCGATCTTTACAGATATTTTATTTTCAATTATTTAATTTATGATAAATATATTAACGTTTGTAATTAAAAATTAAAAAGCGTTACAGTAATATTCTCGCAAAAAGAAAATCAGTAGGTTATCTATTTGATATAAATTAAATATTTTTAAAAAAAGAAATGGCCCATAAAGTATTAATTTTTTATGATTTTCATCCATTACATAAGTAAAGTATTAGCTCTTTATGAATATTTTATCCTGAATCATTTAATTTATGCTAAATACATAAATATTTATAACTAAAATTGAAAAAGTGTTATATTAATATTTCTACGGAAGAAAAACTGGTAGGTTTTTTATTTAACGAAAATTAAATATTTGAGAGTAAATACAAATCTGTATTTGAGAATAAATATTTGTAATAAAGTAAATGTTTGAAAGTAAAATATCCGTAAAGAGTTGGTACTTTAAATAAGTAATACGTATTTGCCTATAAACTATGCTCCTTAAGTTTATTAATTATTAATTAATTTGTAATATTTTGTCATTCATTGGACATGTAGCATAAATGGCAAATCAGGTACAAAATTCTAATTTCACTCTCTAAAACAATATTTTAATCATTTGGACTGAATTTGTAAAGGATTAGTAACCTCAGGGGAGGTCAGTGTAATTGTTCAAACCACAGGGGAGGTGAGTGTAAATGTCAGAAACCTCAGGGGAGGTTTCTGAAATTATCCCTAAACTAAATTGTATTTACTGTCAAATTCAGCTAATTATTTATTTATTTTTGATAAAAATTAATGAATTCAACCCTCCCAAATCTTGGATGAGCTTTTATCAAGTACTATTGATTTTTCCATTTGGATATTTTTTTATAGAAAACTACGCCATAATGATGTTGTTGTGCCGGTGAGATTAAAAAAAATTGATTGAAAAATATATCAAGGAATATTTCAAAAACAAAATTTTTTTTACAGCTACTTGTAGTCATTTGTCAAGAAGTCAATTGACTTTTACTGACTAAACAAACCTAATCCCCAGAGCATGCTCCAAAAGCCGGCAACTCTTGGAGCAGCCCCAGGAGACTTATCTACCCAACAAACCCCAACCCCCTCCCCGATGTGGGACTATAACTCACTCAACCACCCTGCTACTAAGAGTGTACTAACCCCCAAGTGAAATTAAGAAATGAGCTTCGTCTTGCAGCTACTTGTAGTCCAACCACCCACCATTGCCCCGATTAATAGTTGTCATACTTAAATTAAACTCAACTTACTGTGTTAATATGTAAAATCATATTTATTGCATGCTCGTAAGTACACATTATCTCGACAAAAATTCAGACACTCTCCCCACAAAAATTAATTTCTACGCAAAAAAAAAGATTAACACTCCTAGCTAAGGTGTTGTTGAATTGAAGTTTGAACTGAAGTCTAAACTTGATAATAAAAATAATGTGAAGTGTATTTAAAGATGTCAATGGGCGATAGTTAAGAAGGGATTTTTATTTTGCCAAAAAAAAAAGGGTTAAATCTGAAAATATTAATTAATATTTAGAAGGAACAATGAAATAAAGAGTAAATTATAACCAAATATAACCACTAAACTTTTGCAATCGTCGAGTTTTGGTCACTCAACTATTAAAAGCTCGGTTTTGGCCACTGAAATGTCTAAAGTTAAGATTCGAAACCATTTCATTAGATTTAGTCGTTAAGTATACCAGATCTAATTGCCTATGCGATTTCCAAGACAAAAGAAAGGAGCAATTTAGGAAGTTTGACATGCATCTTCTTCTTTTTTTTCTTATTCTATAAATCTAAAGAAAGAGTAACCATGAAACCACAAAATCTACTGCTGCTGCAACGAGGAAGGAGGAAATGGAAGAAGCCCAGCTTGGATTAGAGGAAGAAGGAGCAAGCTGAAGCCTTTGCCTCTGCCTCTGCCGCCGACCACAACCTCCGTCCTCCAGTCTATTTATTAGTCGCGTACATCTATCTCGATGGTTTCAACCAGTCCTACTTCTCCTAAAGATAGAATCAGCCAAGCAACAGTCACAAAAGCAGTAAAAGCTCTTATAAAATGGAGAAAACTCCACCCCAGAACAATCCATCATAAAACCAGCTACAGGAGAAGAAGAAAAGCAAGAATTTCTCGAAAATGAAGATGGTAACGAAGAAGAAAATTTCATTTACCTCCTCTTGACCCTCAAGAAAATCCCACCAAAAGATTCATCCAAAATACCACACAAAATTTCACTCTCAAATTTAGGGGTGTGCAATGAATTTGAATTTGGTAATTTGAAAGTTTGAATTTGGAATTTTTTGAAATTTTGGAATAAGAATTACCGACCGATTTCGATTTCGAATTCACCAGTTCCGATTTCGATTTCGATTCTGAATTCATCGAATTCGGAAACCTTTTTTTCTTTTTTGTTAGATGTATTGTTATATAATATAAATTTTATATTACATATATTATAAAAAATATTATTATATATATATTAATATATATATTATAAAATGAAATTGAAATAAAAATATGATTATAATTTTTATATATATTTATAAAATGAAATTGAAATAAAAAATATTATTATATATATAAATAAATGTATATATATATTATAAAGTGAAATTGAAATCAGAAATTTCGATTTCGATTTCCAATTTCAAAAGCTCCATTATCGAATTCGAACCAAATTTGCTTAATTCAAAATCGAAAATTACTATTTCAGTACCAAATTCTGAATTACCGATTTCAAAATTTCCGAATTCAATTCGAATTCGATCAGTAAATCGTAAATTTTTGATTTTGCACATTCCTACTCAAACTCGGTTCACTCTCTGGTTGACGACAACCTTAGCCTTTGCTTGATTATAGACGACCGGCCCATCAAATCCCCGTATAAAATTACTGCAGAATTTGCTCAAAATAATGTGAAGTCCGAGGATATTTCCATTGATATGGTTGTCAAGCTATCCAAGTTGAAATTAGATTGCAAGACTCTGGAGGGAAGGCGAAAGCTGTATCAATCATTAGACATGTTTTTTGCGGATAAAAGGGTTGTTTCGTTGCTTCCAAGAGTTTTAGGGAAGCATTTTTATAAGAAGGAGAGGAAAATTCTGGTGCCATTGGATTTGAGAAGTGGGATAATTGGAAAGAGCTGATTGAAAGGGCAGTAAATTTGGCATTTTTATGCTTTAGGAATTGCGCAGGCACTTAGATCTAGCATACTTAACGACTAGATCTAACGGAATGGCCTCGAGTCTTAACTTTAGACATTTCAGTGATCAAAATCAGACTTTTAATAGTTCAATGATAAAAACTCGACGATTACAAAAGTTTAGTGTGGTCCGGATAATTTCTTGTGGCCAATTAGTTGTGCCAAAACATAGATGGTACTTTATCTTATCCACAAATTCTTGTGAACAAAAATGCTGGACTGGCGTAGTTGGGCCGGACTAGAACTTAGTTTGGGCTGAGCAGGCACAATGGAGTTATTGGTCCAGTTTTGTCATTACCAACAAGTACTGCCCCAAGATTAGTAGTTAAGGCTAGGTAAGCCCCAACAAATTATCCTTTTGAACTTAAACTCGTTAATTGCACCCATTGGTTGGAAGAGGAAAAAAAAAAAAGGAAGGAACCAAAATCCTATTAGATCTTGTTTGGATTGCTACCCTTTGAATTTTCTATGAAAAAAATATTCTCTCTATTCCATTGTTATTGTAATGTTTGCACTTTATTGATGTTCTAAAACAAAAGTCATCGTTTCAAATTTAAAACATAATTTTCAATATCGACGTTTGAAAAAAATAATTTTTTAAAATCTCAATACGAGAATATTTTGAATTCAATAAATACATACGTAAATTTATCAATGTCAACTAATCTAAATATAATGATGACCACATCTTCGTAAAATTTTTAAAAAATTGGATTCCTAAAAAATGACTCTAATATTGAGACGGAGAAATTATATTGTAATAATTTGATGTATATGAAATAAAAAATATTTGAAAATATATGATCACGAAAGAAAAAAAGTACTAAAAATTTTTCTATGAAAAAATTAGAGCAGTTGGCCATCAAAAGAGATTTAAAACTTTATTTGGGTGTAGTTCAAGTGATCAAATCCTTTGGATGGATTC